GGGGGAGGGAAATAGTGATAGAACTGATGCAGAACTGGATTTTTCTTTAATATTAGAGAGTTTAGCTTCCTTTAACAGAATTCTTTTTTGTGGATGTGAGAAATATTTTTCAAGTTGAATTACAAATGTATGTCTGTTCATATCATTTCTGCTATATAACAATGGCTAACTGTTTAAGCATATTCCTCCTTACATACAGAGTAAATAATTCTGTAGGATCTCAGTTCTTCTCTGTGTGTTATCCAGGTCTCTCAAGCTGCTGCAGAACTGAAGACCTACTGTTTGCAAAATGCTCACAAAGATCCTCTCCTGACTGGGGTACCCTCCAGTGATAACCCGTTCAGGCCTCCCAAATCATGTGTGCTCTTGTGAGATGTGGCTGTGAGTGCTGTTCATGAATTGATCATTCTTTCTAAACTATTTCCTTTTCTAGCAACATAGCACTTATTCATCTACTTGTGAAGATCCTAACAACTGTGTGGCTGTGTTTCTGAGTACAATGCACATTCCTCCAACTAATAGTCTGTTCATGTCTTTGCAGAGCATTGAAGGAGTGCAGAATACCTGGAAATACATGCGCTTTTCATGAGGTGCACCCCCCAGCTGAGGCCCAGAAACACCCTGCCACTGATAAAAATATAGCCATGCTCACAGATAACTTAATCACATCAGGTTTGCCTTTATTTTAGTCTGTTACTAAGGATGGATCTAAAAAGAAGGTATCATTACTGTACCTTTAGAGTCTAAATGTAACATATCTTAACAGTATTGTCAGAATCAGAATCAGAAGTACTTTAATAATCCCAGAGGGAAATTATTTAATTTAATTAATTTAATGATCTAAACTAACAGCACACTGCTTTTGGAGTGTGACGATGATTTCTCATTCATTGTCATCATTGTTTCATCTTTCTCTGTAACAGTTGATGTCCTGCCAAGTAGTTTGCATACATTTTCTTATACAAAGAATTGTAACCCGCACAGGCTAGTCTGGTGATGGCTTGCTTAACACACACTCTAAAGTAGGGGCGCCATCAAACTCTGGACGCCTGCTGTCCTGAGGTGGTTCCCTGCTTCAACACATCAGATTCTCTTCAGTTTGCCCTTAGCAGGCCTGCGCAGAACTTAAAAGAATGGATCCATTCATGCTGAATCAGGTGTAATGCAGCAGGGAAACGTCTAAAAGCCGCCGGACCACAGCCCTCTAGGACTAGACTCCCATGCTCCGGTTAATGCTGGATAATTGACTCCCCCTACAGTTTTTACACATTAAAACAAATGTACACATGAGCCTAGGACATGTCAGCCAGACGTGAGGTCATTGTCACACTGCAGAGGCCATAGAGACATGGTGGTGTGGGCCGCCAAACCAAAGCTTTAATGCAGCAGTGTTGGTACCTTTCAGGTACAATCCCCATGATTGTAAAACCTTCCCATCAAAGACAACGTGCCTTTCTTGGTTTTGTACTACTGCAACCTGGATATAATCAGGTCTTTACTCTGTAATAAAACAATATTTTTGCATCAGTAAGTTGGGTTCATGCTTGACTCCATGTCTGTGGTTATAGATAGATAGATAGATAGATAGATAGATAGATAGATAGATAGATAGCTTTATTCATCCCTGAAGGGAAATGTTGCTGTAGTAGTATACAATATCGCACAATAAAATAAAAATGAAATAGTGAGTAGTTTTGTGATTAGTCCGGTTCTGTGACTGAGGCTCTGGCAGAGGCAGATGAGTTGTACAGCCTTATTTAGGTAGGAACCATTTCCTGTGTTGTTCCTCAGAGCAGCAGTTGACTGAGTCTGTTGCTGAAGTTGCTGTTTAGCCTGTCCAGAGGGTTAGGGTCCATGCCAATGCAGTGCTAATTACGTTTTATTATATTTGCTCTGTGTATCTGTGAATTAATCCGTGTAAAACGTTTCATTTTGTGTAAAAACGCAAAGGGAATTTATTTCCTGGTATCTCTCCGGGATCCCCACCGGCCGCCGCCGGCAGGGGGCGCTGCCGCCGCCCGGAGCCCGGCCGGCCTCCAGCTGAGAGCAGCGCGCGGTGGATGAGAGCGTCTTCGATCTGTCCCCACTCCAGATCAAAAATGGCGGTCTCAGTGTTCCCCGGCGTGCGGCTCCTGTCCATCGGAGACGCCAACGGAGACATACAGCGGCATTCAGAGCAGCAGCCTCTGCGGTTAGAAGTCAAGACCTCCCAGGACGCCGCCCTCCTCAACCTCTCCAATGGTGAGTGGACTTAGCAGCCCCTGTCCGGCCGGCGGCCGGCCTGCCTAAGCCGTCTGCTAATGCTAAGCAGCGCTAATGCCTGAAAGCGGGGCTAGCGGCGGGGCTAGCGCCGAGAGGCTAGCGCCTCTCTGGTGACCATGTCGCCTCCCCCCAATTGCCTTAAGTGAGCCCGTAGGATTGTGAATCTTTGGCGGTCCGATGGGCATTCTGTGGCTCATTGACTTTCCGTGTCCACATAAATGTCGGACAGCAAACAACAGCCGACCAGCCAGCGCTGAAGCTAAAGAACGTGGGCTAGTTAAACAATGCCTGGCTCCTCAGGATGCGCTAACATGAGGCGGCTGTTTCCTTCACTCATCTGGGCCCTCACAAATCCCTCTTTTGTTCAACAACAGCTCAATGCTCCGGCAAATCCACCTATTCCGCTTGGTCACACAGTGAGCCAGGCAATACTCGGGTGCTTAGCCTGAACGAGCAGCCGGGTGGTCCGGAGCCCGGTGCGGGCCGGCTCTGCTCCCGGGCCGGGGAGCACCGCCGGCGGGCCGGCCAGTGGACGCCGCCGGCTCCGCTCCCCCGTATGCGTTCTGGGCGCAAACACCTAAAGATCTCCTCCAGGTTAGGCGGTGTTTTGATGACCTCGGCAGCATGGCGCGGCCGGGCCCTCATTACGTATGCATTCATCTTTGTTCTCATTGGGACAATAGTCTCCGCCGCCTCCTCCCCCCGCGCGGAGGCAGCGCCACGAAACGAGCGCATCCCGCCGTCTTCTGAGGGCAGTCAGAGGAGAGGAGCACTCTTCTCCACGTTGTTTACTCCGGATGTGTGTGGGGGGGGGGACTCATGGAAGAGGATGAGCCAGAGTTCCTCAGGACCAGGAACACTACAGACTAGCTCATCTTATTTAACTGGAGAGATACCTCTCTGTCCTCACCTGCACCATGGCTGGCTTTAAAAGCACCGGAGAGAGAGATTAGACTCCTAAAACACACGCAGAGCGATTTAAAGCCCTTCTTGAACTATTGGGGTTAAAGCGGTGGCCGAGGTTTATTTTGAAAGAGAAAAAACTGATTTTTCACACAATGTCTAAGTCTTTGTGTCAAGGAGTAAAACGAGCTTTGATACACTCAAAAAGAACAATTGTTATGTCCCCCCAACATTTTTATCTTGAAAGAGGCTGTAGCATGGAACTGCATTCTGGAGAGCACAGTGGGACTAAATCCTAAAGTCTGAACTCGTCCAGATGTCTAAGTGTAGCACAGGTTTCTCTCAGGATCGGACCAGTTTTGTAACATGTGGGCCATTTGCAAAGCACTGTGCAACATTTTGGAAGAAGGGCTGTGATTCCTGAACCCTAACAGTCAGGATCTTGGGTTCTCTAATGAAAGTTTACACCCAGTTCCATTATCAGGATTAGGAACAGATTTTTCTGTAAATTAGTTCATACATTTAAAAACGTCCAGATTAACATTACTCTCTAAACCTTTTTGGCTCTTCGGGGAAGAAAAGCCACCTATCAGTGAAGATCTGCCTCCTGAGCCCCAGCAGACAGATTAAGTGAAGCAAGTCAGTTGTCAGACAAAGTTTAAGGACCAGAGCTGTTCTGGTATAGTGTCCCAAATACATGCATGCTAACTGGTTAGGATCAAGAAAATGTCAAAAACTAAACACGGATGGTTGACCTTTCTGAAGTTTGTGGCATGGACGGTGTGCTTTGTGGAGGTCAGTTTCCAGTCACAGTATTGACCAGGGGACGGGGATCCAGTGTCCATTTTCCAGCAGAAGGTTCCTAAAAATGTCCTCTGTGAATCGCTCAGCTTTTTATTGATTTTAAGAGTGGTTGGAGGTTGCAGTGTGACTGAGGCCAGACCAAGAGGCCTTTTATGTAAGCGCCTGTCTCCCAGCCACAGGTTTGGATCTTCATCAGCTCTGGGAGATGAGGGCATGGAAGAGCATCCAATGATGCAGTGTCATGGTGGCTTTTCTTACAGAAATATGACAGCTGTGCTACCTCAAATACACTTTAGGAATAACATCTGAGCGTGTGTCCAGATAAATACACGATGTGAAAAGCCACATCCCGTAGAGACAACCTGCAGACCAGTAAAGCCCCCCACCCACCCATACACACACACACACTCCTTTCCTAGTGTATTTGCTAAGTCTTTCTGTTTCTGCCTAGGAGAAGAGGCCAGTGTGTTCAAATGTTCGGTTTCCCGAGAAACAGAGTGCAGCCGCGTGGGGAAGCAGTCCTTCATCATCACTTTGGGCTGCAACAGCGTCCTCCTGCAGTTCTCCTCACCAGCAGGTAAACCCCCACCCACCCAGTCCTGGGATGCTGCAGGAAAGCTGTTCCCTGCTCTGGATCTGAGGACTGTTGATCAGCAGAAGCATGGTCAGGGCTCACTGAAGGGAGACCGGGCAGGGCCCTCAGCCTGACCATCACAGCTGCCCGTCAGAGGCAGAGGACGAATGCTTCTGGCTGTTTTTCAGACCTCTTACTAAATGTTAGAATGGTGAAGAAACAATGAGCAGAAGCTTACCAGTGTACATTGTAGTTAAAACAGCTGAATGTTTGTGATCTGCTTCAGATTTCCAGTCTTTTTACAACCTTCTGAAGAACTGTCGTGGGCATCTCAATGAGCGCTCAGTTTTTAGTGAGAGGACAGAGGAATCCTCGGCTGTACAGTATTTCCAGGTAAGAAGAACACGGCTCCCCTCCAGGTCTAAAGGCCTCTCCCAGGCTGTGGGCTCATGGCAGGATGGATGTAAACACATGGAGGCAGGTGTGGGTCTGTCCTCATAACCGATTAACTGGAGGAACAGCTTTGGACACACATTCTTTCCAAAGATGGAGGTTTGAAGCACACGTGGAGCCCTCGGGTTCATTGAATCCAGGGGAGTGATCAGAGTTATCCAACCACACAGCTCCGACAAAGCCTTTGTATCGTGGCGAAAGACTCATCAGATGATGTGCACAGGGACCCCGTCCCCCGGGCCTCTGATGTCCTCAGATTGAGCCTTTCTGGAAGAGGTTTTCATCTTCCTTGTGCCTCCTGTCTGTGCTCCCTGCTTTGTGTGTGGTCTGAACAAAAGCAGCGGTTACCTCACCTCAGTGTGTTTTCTCTTGTTTGTACACAGTTTTATGGCTACCTCTCCCAGCAACAGAACATGATGCAGGACTATGTCCGGACAGGGACCTACCAGCGGGCTATCCTCCAGAATCACACTGACTTCAAGGACAAGGTAAGCTCCTCTGGCCCTAAGAAGGTTGCCTTTGGAAAAGCCGTTCAGAGGGGAAGAAGCAGCAGTCTGTCTGTCAGACACACACACGCGGAGCTCTGAGGTTGAAGTGACTGTGAGCCCCCGTTCTGCACCGCAGGTGGTTCTGGATGTGGGCTGTGGCTCGGGGATCCTCTCTTTCTTTGCTGCCCAGGCTGGAGCCAGGAAGGTCTACGCTGTGGAGGCCAGCACCATGGCCCAGCACGCTGAGGTACACACTGGGCTGTGTGGCTCCCACGTCTGAGCCCACCCTGACACTAGCAGTGGGAGACACTCGGTTGTGGTCCTGGGCTCTCAGGTTCTGGTGAACAGCAACCGTCTGGGTGAGCGGGTGGTGGTCATCCCTGGGAAGGTGGAGGAGGTGACGCTGACCGAGCAGGTGGACATCATCATCTCAGAGCCCATGGGCTACATGCTGTTCAACGAGCGGATGCTGGAGAGCTACCTGCATGCCAAGAAGTTCCTCAAACCAAACGGTGAGGAGGTTTGAGCCACAGGTTGAAATATTTACACCCAGTAACATTAGCGAGGGCATCCGCTCAGGCAGGAGGAGCCCTGGTGAGTATTGGCTGGACGTCTGAGGGGACTCGGGCCATAGAAATCCTCACAGTTTTCTAGTCTAAAGCAGGAGAAGTGCCCCCTGAGGCCAGGTGTGTGCCTGCCTGGAGGTCCACACAGCCAGTCAGCAGATGCAGGGAGAGAAGTGTGTCCAGAGCTGTGTCCAGAGCTGTGTCCAGAGCTGTGGCTTGTTCTGTGTGCTGCGTCTGCCCCTTTAGTCCTGACTGTGCTCCTGTGTGGGTGTTTCAGGTAAAATGTTCCCCACCATCGGAGACGTCCATCTGGCTCCCTTCACAGATGAACAGCTGTACATGGAGCAGTTCACCAAGGCCAACTTTTGGTAAGGAAAGCAGGCAGCTCCATGCAGAGGACCTCTGGCCTTCAACAGCTCCAAGCTGCTGCTACCTTTAGTTGTTCCCGTGCATTTTAAGTCCAGGACATTTGAACTGGAGCTTTTCACTGCAGCAGGCTGACCGGATGCTGTGATCAGAGCACTTCCCACAGCATTCTGCAGCCTGTTGCCTTCTTCTGTCATATTAGAGCACATCTCACACTGTTCTGGTCATCTGTGGAGGGGAGCGCCCCCTGTACAGATCAGTGACCAGTGGCCTCCTGTTTGGCTGACTGGTAATATTTAGTGCTGCTGAGGGGGGTTGTTTTAACCCCTGCCTTTCTTCACCTGCTGCCAGGTATCAGCCCTCCTTCCACGGCGTAGACCTCTCTGCCCTGCGGGGGGCAGCCGTGGATGAATATTTCCGCCAGCCCATCGTGGTAGGTCCCTGTCTCCCGGTTGGCCACAGTCTGTGTGTGATCCATGAGGAGGCCCCTGGCCTGGCTTGGACTGACGGCTGGGCTGTGTGCTGCTGTTTCCCCTGCAGGACACTTTTGATATCCGCATTCTGATGGCCAAGTCTGTCAAATACACAGTTAACTTCCTGGAGGCCAAGGAGGAGGACCTCTACAGGTGTGTACAGCTCTGTGTGTTCAGGGGCTGCTCTCTGAACGGCGTCTCATGAAGGGCCTTCTGCTCTGGGTCACAGGATAGAGATTCCCTTTAAGTTCCACATGATGCACTCGGGTCTGGTGCACGGCCTGGCTTTCTGGTTCGACGTGGCCTTCATGGGATCAGTGTAAGTGGCCTGCTCGATACCACAGCTCTGAGTTGTCTTGAAGCATTGTTGGAGCTGGCTTTGTGGTGTCCCCCTGCAGGATGACCGTGTGGCTGTCCACAGCCCCCACAGAGCCCCTCACTCACTGGTACCAGGTACGCTGTCTGCTGCAGTCTCCACTCTTCACCAAGGCTGGGGACACGCTCTCTGGCACTGCCCTGCTGGTGGCCAACAAAAGGTATCCTGCTCCACACGCTAGCCAGGTCTAAGCATCCTCAGCCAGGTCACCTGACCCCAGGGGACCACGAATGCCTCTGAATGGGGAAAGCTGGCACCCAGGGGCCAGCTGGATCAGAGCTATGTGGGACATTACATCTGCTGTTTGTGACACAGGAAGAGAAATGCATTTAAACTGCTATTGCTTTGGAGCACCACAACGTCTTTTAGTTGTCATCCACTGCATCCCGGGCTTTATCACTTAGATTGTTATTCTGAGGAGGGAAACACTGATGTGATGTCCGTTCATTGAGTTTGAAACAATGTCCTCTCCCACAGACAAAGCTATGACATCAGTATTGTTGCCCAAGTGGACCAGACAGGATCAAAGTCCAGCAACCTCCTGGACTTGAAGAACCCCTTTTTCAGGTGAGTGGCTCCCTGTGGCGCGCACACACAGCTGGGTCTGCCTGTGTAGGTGGGAGGGCCCCGTTTCCATCTTTTTCAGGACCCTGTGTGTGTGTGTATTTCCAGGTACACAGGCACCACCCCCAACCCCCCTCCTGGTTCACACTACACGTCCCCATCTGAAAACATGTGGAACACAGGGGCGGCCTACAGCATGAGTCAGGGGATGGCTGTATCAGGTGAACACCCACCAAATGCTGGTAGAGGACATATTTCTCATCTGACTACAGGGAGAGAATCTCTCCTTCTGAGCCCCGGTCAGCCAGGGTAGCTCCGTCCTCCAGGCTTCGGCTGGGCTAGCGTAGGGGCAGCTGCAGACCCTTTACAGACGGCTTCTCCTGTGTCATCACAGACTTTTGGCGTCCACAAACGTCAGATGAGGTGTGACAGCGTGTAGAAGGCAGCGGTTTCTGTGTCCTCTGGACTTTTCAGATGCGTTGGGTGTATTACAGGTGCTAGCTTAACACAGACCTGCAGAGATGGTGTGTATCGGCAGATTGTACCATCCCCAACAACAGCAGCTCTTCCCTCTTCCCACCTGGCCGGGCTCTCATTTCTAAAAGTCTAAAGATCCCAAAAAACGCAGCCTGGAAGTGGTGTCCGTCCCTTCCCACACCAGGCTGAGATCCTTAAAGACAAACCTGTGCGGCCCCTCTCACAAACTTCTCCTGGAGTCGGGGGGAGGCGGGTGGCAGCCACCCTGCATCAGGATCCCTCCCACATTTCATTTCACTGTCAAACTTTAATCAGGGTCTTTATTATTGGTAGTTATGAGTTATTCATGCTGGCGTTGGTGAGCCATCACTAGACATAAGGAACAGGCCAGGATTCCCACCATCACGTTCCTCTGATGTGGACCACAGAAGAAGACCTGGAGTGAGCGTCTGAGGCCTCAGACCGGCTGCTCTGGGCCGGCTCTGGTGCTGCTGCTGTGGGATGGAAGCACTGGCTCTGCTGGACCTAACCCTAACCCTACCCCTGCAGATGGGGAGTCAGGAGGGAACCATCAGCAGACAGGCAGCCTGTGGTCAGCTGTTGTGTCCTTGGTTGGAACAGATTTCTCTTCCTGTGACTTGGAGCGCCCAGTTGCCGTGAAACGACAATAGGAGGGGCCTCTTGGTGTCATGTGTGCTCCTTCTCAGAGCTGCTACTCCTCCCCTTTGTGAGGGCGCTCTCACATCAGAGCCACTTGGACTTTGTTTCCTCTGGTAGGCCGCTCCACCTCCCTACTCTCTTCCACCTGTTGTCTGGTCATTGGACCCTGGTGTGGTGGGCTTAGAGGAGGAGTGGACCAGACAGGAGGTGAACCAAAAGAGGGCTGGTGTGCATGTTCAGGTGTGTCTCTGTCCAGCTGCTCACACTTGAGTTGTGAATTGAGCAGCTGAGGGAACAGATTCTCCTTTTTTGGTCAGCTGGGTCCTCCCCCTGCCTGGTCGGGCTTGTTATGAGCAGCAGCACCCCTGAGGGGGGCCTTTCTAGAGCTGCTGTCAAAGTGCAGCTTGAGGTTCCTCACATCAAACCCCTGGACTGTCCTGGTGCAAAGGACTCAAGGAGAGAGGTGGTAAGACAGGATGAGGAATGAGGGGAGCCAGCCTGGCCATGCTGCAGCATCAGTGACTGTGTGTGAGCCTCACAGTGTGGCAGCGCTGATGGGAGGCCGGCTGGAACTTACGGAAACATGTTGTCCTGTGTGCTTTTCAGGGATGCCTGCAGCTTATGACCTCAGCACAGTCATCGGCAGCGGCCCGGCGGTGTCTCACAACAACCTCATCCCTCTGGGTACACAGCTTCCTCATTTCTGACATGCGGACACAGAAGGAGATGCAAAGAGGACTGCTGCTGTTTTCATAGTTCACTTACTGGACTCGCATCTGGACTCACATCTGTGCCAAGGCAGCTTGACACATCTTTTGCTTTGTATTTAAGCTTTCAGTCTTATTGATGAAGCATCTTCTAGGCCTTAATATTCTTCTGTGACAGAGCAGCAGCACAAGCTGTTTGCCCCTTAGTTTGCTCTGTCCATAGAGCCTCCAGCCTCTGGGAAGGGTTAGAGGGGGTGCATGCAGCACAGGAGGAGGCGGGAGGGGGCAGGAGGAGGTGGGAAGGGGCAGGAGG